CTGGACACTGGCCCCAGAATGGCCTCTCCATCCTTTCCCACCAAGGTTTGCAGGGTGAGAAACAAAGTGAGGAGCTCAGGCTCTTGCAGGGGTACAGTGCCTGGTGCCTCCTTGGGTCCGGGGGGTGGGCTGCAGTGGGCCCTGGGTATGTCTGAAATGTTCTAGGCAAAGCTGGTCTCATCAAAAGAGCTAGCCCTGGGTCCACGGAGCCAAGAGCGGGGCTGAGCTTTGTGACATTTGCCCCCATTTCCAGAAGGCATGGGGCTGGCCCTGGCCTCGCTGACAAACGCAGAATTCAGGAGACATTAGTAGTGATGTGGATGAAAGCCAGGCCACAGCGGCCTCGCTGGAAAAGAGAAACTTGAACGTTTTGGCGTGAGATTCTGCAGGGTCCAGGAGAAAGTTGAAGACATGGAAATTCTAATTAACGCACACAGGGCTGGTTTTGCTCAAGGATCTACAGGCTGTCATGTTGCAGGAGGCCCGCAAGCACATGCTTGCTGGGGAGGTGCTCACGGTCACCTGGTGGGGGCCCTGCAGTGCCCTAGCCTCGGCCCTGCCTCCCATGCCTGCCTTTCCTGGAAGGCCCCTGGCCCTTCCCGGGCCCATCTCAGTGGACAGGGTGCTGCCCTACACTCTCCGCCTGCAGAGCAGAATGGGGAGTGGCTAATAAACATGAGCTGAGTCTCGCCCATCCAAGATGCCATGACAGAAGAGATGGAGGGGACCAGGGACCAACTCTTCTGGGGGGACCCTTTTGGGAAACCATAGGCTGCTGTGCTCATGGAGGGCCTGGCCTCTTGCACCATCTGTCTTGGGCATCCATGTGCAACTGATGGGGCAGATGTGAATTCCAAGCCAGTCCTCGCTGACTCTGCAGCTGGGGAGGGGACTTCATGGAAATGGCTGCAATCTCCCAAGGTTGCTGGGAGAAGGGTACCCAGGCCACTTCCGCTAACAGCCCAGAGCTCAGAACCACAGATCCTCATGCCGAGGCCAGTTCTAACCCTGCCATCCCAGGCCCTGTGTGCTAGCACCCATGCCGAGCTTGCTTCATGTCCCCCTTGGGAGGGACTGGCCAGGCTTTGGCTGAGGGGATCCTGTCTGCCTTGGGCAGGAGCAGCAGTCTTAGAGCTCCTTTTGGCCTGGGGCTTTAGGGATGCTGGCGAGGGAGAGGTGGAGAGGAGCTACACACTCCCTGCTCCCTAGGAGCTGAGGGCCAGGCAGGGAGACAGACCCCCAAAAAGGGTCCCAGGCGCCGTACTGAAGGCTCAGGGAGCTGGTACCGAGGGCCTCTAGAGCTGGAGGAGGATGCGGCCGCCTGGCCCGCAGGCATCCTGGCTGAGGCAGGGACGCCTTAGCAGACATCGGAAAGATGAGTAGGAATCTGATGGCTGCAATGAGTGACAAGGGCGTTCCAGATAGGGACACCATGTTCAAGGCAAGGGATGCACAAATGGGTGGATGCCCCCCCCCACCCCACCACCACTATCCTGCCAGTGACTCTCCGTGGGCAGAAGACAGTGGGTGAAGCAGGATCCCCGGAACTCATCTCAGCTCTTATTGGGGTACAGGGCTCTCCTCCCCTGGTGGGGAGCTCCCTTGGTCCCCCATACTGTACTCTATATGCCCTGTTTCTACCTTACACTTGCCCCTTGGAAGCCCTGTGGCAAGGCTCTGGGTAGGGGGGACAGAGCGCAGGGAGCTTGAGGCAGACAGGCTCCCTTCTGGCCCTGCTGGACCCAGAAGACTATCTCCCTGAAAGCTGTGTGGGAAGCTGCATGTGCCAGAGCTGGGTGAGGGCCCTGGGACTGCACAGGGACACTGGGATTTGCCTACAGAGCTGGCGTGGCTGAAGCCACCGTCTCCCCAGCCTACTACACCCTGGCCCCTGCTCGCTGGCGGCTCCCTAGTTTTGGACCAGGCTTGCTTGCAGACCCCGGGCCCCCCACCCCTCACTCCACCAATGGCCAACAGGCCCCGGAAAAAGGAGCTTCGCCCAGCCCCAGGGACCTTCCCGTAATCAAGGCTGCAGTGACCTCACCTCCCTGGGGCCCTGCGGGCGGGGAGAGCTTGAGATGGAAACAAAATGTGTCTTTATTTATGCTTTTAATTTGAATTCTGGAACTGGCCCAACGTGGTAATACATTTAACATCAGTAAAATGCTGAAGAAAAATGGATCTGTTTTTCAGTAACTGCCTCCCACCCACTCTGCCCCCTGCAAGACCCCCATGCACATCCCTGTCCCTTGGACACACACATCAGGGCGTGCACCTCTCTTCCTCTCTTGGGGTCCACAGAGCTGGGCTGCTCGTGGGAGCCACGTCCCTGAGCAGCTGGAGCCGAGTTTAATTAGGGGCATCAATCACCAGGTCGGCCGTGCAGGAGGCAGAGGAATGCGGCCCCAGCATAGGCACAAAGGCCTGGCCTGCCTTCCCGCCCCAAAGGTCGGTGTAGCCTTGAGTAAACACGGTGCCCACCGGGGCTACCTCCTCCTCCAGCCATGGTGGTGGGCCCTCTGCTCAGCCTGTAGCCCTGGGGGCAGCTGGGTTCTGAGGCCCTGACACCACTTTCATTGGCCTGCATCCTACCGTTCCGACCAGAGCTCCTCAAGGGACGGTACCCCAACTACTGAGGAGGCAGGCTCACAGATCCCCTGCCATCTCAGCCTTGACTCTGCCCTGACCAGAGCACAGTGCCTCCAGGTGGCCCCTCAGCTGAAATCTCGGTCTCCCTGCTCCCAGCCACAACCAAAGACCCCTCATCCGTGCACCACGCCTGGGCTCCTTCCTACCTTGCTCACATCCGCTGCTTCTGGACGGGTCTGCACTGGGAAAGACATTCGCAGGTTAGGGTGGGAACCCAGTCAGGTGAAGACTGGTGTTTTGGCCTTACCTAGGCCCAGCCAGCACTGGAGGTGACAGAAGACACTCCTTTCCTCCAACCAACTGGCCAAAGTGTGGGAATGCTGGCCTAAGAAGTCCCATAGCAGGCTCTCTGGATGATGATGCAGCAGGCCCACTGCAAGCAGAGAGCTTGGGGCGTTTCCGGTCTGATGGCCTCTGTCTCATAGGAGGAGGACAAGAAGTGGCCAAGCGCCCCTGACGATGCAGCTACACTGGCTTGCGTTGCCTCCTGGGGCTCCCTGGGCAGATGGGCAGCCTCTGGCCCCAAGAAGCTTGGTGTGTGCCAGCGTGGACAGCCCTCACCTCAAAAGGGGTGACTGCCCAAAGCAGCGGTGGGCCATCTCAGACTCCAGTCTTTCACCACCCTCACCCTGGGCCTCAGAGCCCAGGGAGCTGATGAGGCCTGACTGCCCGGCTGGATGGGTGGTGAGTGACAACCCTGTCCTCCCAGGGTGCAACTCCTTGGATCTACAACCTGGGGGCTGGGCCACGGCTGAGAGAATGACAGAAAATGAGCTCTGACAGGAGAGAGGCCAGGAAGACAAGAAGGGGCAGGCTGAGGCCTGGGTGGTGTCCAACCACACGAGGTTTGTAGTTCTCAGCGGGCTCTTGACTGCCCTTGCTCTGAGCAGGCACTGCCACCTGTGTTGCACACAATACCAGCTACAAAACTCCAACTTTTACCACTTTGGTATCTCTTCATGCCCTGGACTCTGTACAGGCCTCAGCCAAAGTGGTAAGCTGGCGTCTGCCTTCAGGCGCTGACACGTACCTGCACAACCCGCTGCTGCTCACACCTCTGCACTGCCCATTTATCAAGTAAGCCTGGCAGGTCATCTCCAGGACGGACCCAGAGTTCAGAGCCCCATTCCTTGGGGTAACTCAGAAGCCTGCTCTGGTGCTGAGTCCACGAGGACAAGTCACCCCTGCTTCCCAGTGATCCGGTTGGCTTCCACCAAGACCTGTGAACACTTCTTATGTACACCCTGCCAACCACGGGGTGCTGCCAACCTCTCTGTGAGCCTGGGGGACCTGGAAAGATGGCGAGCGGGTCCTGTCTGGTCAGAATACCACCTCGAGACAACCCTATCCTTCTCTCATTCTGCTACCTGACTCTACCAGTCCTCAGGTCACATGAGCAGCCAGGAGACCCTGTAATTCGGGTCCCAACTTCCTCAGTTACCTACCAGGCAAAAGCCACACCTGGCTGGCAGCAATGGCAGCAGGCCTAGGGCCTCACTCTGACACAGGCACACATGGTTCAGGACAACCTCAAGACCCCTAGAAAGCCTGGAGAGCCTGATACCCTTTAGGGAGCTGTCTGTAGAGAGAAGGAAAGAGTGCCGGCAAGTGCCCCTGGGAAGGGCTGAGAGTGCCGCTTACACATCCCGGAACAGAAAGACTTCTCGGGATCCCCAGTGGGGTGGCAGCCAGAATGGGCCCGCATGCCCTGCTGACCCCGCCACAGGCTATCACCGCTGGGTGCCCTGGCAGGGAGTACCGAGTCACATGTCACAGGGGAATCACACCACGGCTGGGCCCCCGGGATTGGCCTGGCGATGCCGTGACGGGGGGAGGACGGGCATGCATCCCAGGCCAGCTGTGCCTCCGGGGAAGGCCAACTGGAAGGCGCGGAAAATCAGCCATTTCCTCCACCTGAAGGAGCCCCTGAGGACAGCAGCGGCAACTGGCAGACAGCACTCGGCATCTGCCCCGTGGCTTGGGCCAGGGTTCCACGGGGAAGTGCTGAAAAACAAAGTCGTCTCTTTTTGGGGGGCGTGGGAGGGGGCTAGGGGAGAGAAAAACAATCTTCTCAGACGCTCGAAGCACGAAAACAAGTGGAAAATGATCAGTCTGGTTTTCCATAAGTCAAAACAAGAGGATCATGTTCCCAGACTCGGCGGGAAATGCCCCTGCTCCCCTCCTCGCCTGGTGCCCAGGCACTGGGGCCAGCCCATGGTGGCTGGTAGCCCCAGGTTGCTGAGGGCAGGCAGCAAGTGGTGGGTGCTGGGTGAGTAGACCCAAGTCCCACCATTGAGCCCTTTGAGCCCTATACCCCTCTGCCCATCATCCACGGGCAAGTGGGCACTCACTGTGACACGTGGGTGATGGGAGCCAGCAGCGTCTCCCCTTCCAGGTCCAGGTCCTCAGCAAAGCTGTTGGTTCTCATGAAATGGGCCGTGCTCACTTCTAGCAGTGTGGGGCTCTTCTTCACTGCGGGGAAAGTTGTGGCCATGTTAGGCATCTGGAAGGCTTGATGGCAAAGGGGCTCAGGGCTGGCTAGAGCTGGACTCAGGTGCCCACCCCAACCTGCCAACCTGGCCATGGGACAGACCTGTATACCATGACCCTCCCCACAGATGGACAAGATGCCCACTCGCAGGGCCAGGTGAGGAGTAGAGATGGTGCACGAAGCCTCAGTGCCGAGGATCTGGGCAGGCTAAGATGACCCCCACGTGCCTGAGGCCTCAATGGCTGAAGAGCAGTTGAGGGCCAGTGATGCCTCCTCAGAGTGAGGACTGTGCCTGGGCTGAGCTCAGGTGTCCAGGTGTCTCTCCAGGTTCACACTTGACATTTCAGGTCAAGAATAAAGCTACTGACCAGCATAAGTCTGGTAAGAGAAACTGATTCCTACCACCAGGCCATCACTCATGTGGACAGAGGGTTTGCGACGCCCCAGTGAAGACCCAGGGTGGTAGGACTACTGCCTACAAGGAATCACAAGCCCGGGAGGGTGGGACAGCCACAGAGCTCCTGGCCCCTCACTCAGGCCACGATGCCACATCCACCACCCACACCCCAAGGGAGGCACAGGAACCACCCTAACAGCTGCTGTAACATTCAGATTCCTGGGCCCACCCTCAGCAATCTGACGCTGGTGCTCAGGGGTGACTAAGAATATGTTTTAGTCCCCTGATTATCAATCTGAACTTTTTCTTCATATAAAATTTTTATTGTAAAGTATTAAGTACTTGTAAAAAGTGAAACAACTCAAAGATTTACGAAGGCCTTCCTCTGTGGTCACCAGTGTTAACTGCCACCTGGATTCCTAGCTCATCCCTCTCTGCTCATCATAGCAGCTGACACCAGGTAGGACTTGCTTTTATGCACATGTGATGGCTCTGTTCTTGTCACTTTGTTCCTGTCACTCTACAACATGCTCATCTCATTTTTCTACAGGTATACAGACATGGATCTAAGTCTTATTTTAATAGTTGTGTAGAAGTCCGTAGTTTAGATCTCCCACAGTTCTCTCAACCATTCCATGTTTGACGGACACTCAGGCTCCATTAGCTTTAAGCCACTGCTTTAAGATGACGCACCACCCATCTTTATGAAAACCTGACACTGCGGCAGGTGAGCGAGTGCTTCCCTGGTAATTTTAATAGATGTTGCTGGATTGTTTTCCCAAGAATGTAGCAATTCAGATTCCACCAGCAGCGTGTGAATGTGCCAGCTTCCCCACATCCATGACCTAACCAGCTGTTGGCAGCCTTTGCAGGGCCCGCCAAGCGTGGATGAAGACTGGGATGCTGTTTTTCCTTCTGCGCTGAGCGCCTTTTATGGCTCAGAGGCTGTTTGGATTTCCTCCTACGGAATTGTCTGTTCATATCATTTGCTCATTTTTGCTTGTCGATTTGTAGGAATTTTTTATATATTAGAGATGTTAACCCTGTGTCACATGAGGCCCAGATCTCCTCCCCAGGCTATCTTTGTTATTTTAACCTTAATTATTTGGTTGTTTCTATCATAGAAATGTTTTCTGTTTTTAAACTGACACCTATTTTTTTGCATTTTTAAAAAGGAAGGTTTTCTCATCCCAAAGTAATACAACTGTCTCTTAAATTTAGTTGTAATATAAATTTGTGAATGTGTGTGTGTAAATTTTAAAACATTTACCATTTCTGCCTAATATTGTGGGATATCATCAACAATCAGAAGATGAAAGTGTAAAAGGTATTGTATACAATCTTACTAAAAAAACTAAAGTAAAACAAACTATAAAATTTCAAAGAAAACATAGAAGAAAATCTCTGGACCTTGGATTTGGCAATGAGTTTTGATGTACGACACCAAAGGCTCAGTCCTTAAGGGGAAAAAAAAATTGAAAAATTGGACTTTATCAAAATTAAAAGCATTTGTTCTACAAAAGACACTGCTGAGGGAATGAAAAGACAAGCCTCTGAGTTGGAGAAAATGTTTATACGGCACCTCTCTGGTCAAGGACTTGAATCCAGAATATATAAAGAACTCTTGCAACTTGACAACAAGAAAGCCAATGACCCAATTTTAAGAAGGGATTACAAATAAGCACGTGAAGAGATGCTCAATTCAATCAACATCAATTATTAGAGAAATGCTATTGAAATCCACAATGAGCTACCACTACACCCATATAGAATGGCTAAAATTAAAAAGTGGTGTCGATTTTAGATATTTGGAAAAAATAAAGTTAGAGCCTTACTTCTCAGCTTACATTAAAAAAAAACAAAAGAAAAAAACGTTGAAGCCTGATAACATCAAACACAAGGATGCAGAGCAACTGGAACTCTCACATGTTTGCTGGTGGGAGTGCAAAATGTGCAGCCATGTGGGGAAAGAGTGGCAGTTTCTCATAAAGTTAAACATACACTTACCATGTGACCCAGTGGTCCCTCCCATATATTTACCCAAGTGAATTGAAAATTTATGTTCACAAAAATCTGTACATAAATACGTATAGCAGCTTCACTCAAATTCCCAAAACCTGAAAACAACCAAGATGTACTTCAATAGGTGAGTGGATAAACAAACTGTGGTACATCTATACAATGGAATACCATCCAGCAATCAAAAGAAATGAACTAAGGAGTCATGCAACAATATGGATGAATCTCAAATGCATTTTGCTAAGCAGTGAAAGAAGCCAGATGCAAAAGGCTACATATTATATGACATTCTAGAAAAGGCAAAACTACATAAAGGGACATAAAACAGGTCAATGGCTGCTAGTGTTTAGGGGAGGGGGAGTACTTGACTTCAAAAGGGTTGCATGAGGGAACTTTCAGAGCTATGGAACGTCTCTGTATAATGCTGTGGTGGTGGATACGTGACCTCAGGGATTTGTCAAAACTCATAGAACTGTACATCTCCAGGAGCGAATTTTACTGTGGACAAACTAAAAAAAATCAAGAGACCGTTGGAGGATCCTAGGATGGAGAGTAGACTGACGAGTGAATTCTGGGTTAACGAATGTATGACAGTGCTGAAAGGGGAGGGGAAGAAGGAGCTGGCCTACAAAGCCTCAGTAACAATCTTTTGACCAGACACGGTATGGCTAAAGTTAACAAACTATCATAAACCCACTATTGTAGTTGGTAGGTTTGTTTCTCATAGGGGTACTATGTGTTCATGCGGGTTAAACAAATAAATCATAGATAATGGGAGCCAGGTTTCTCACTGCTACAGAAAACAAGTAACAGACCGAGTCGGGGGGTATGAATAAACTCTGTGATCAGAAACATCATATGAATTCATATTTAGCTTAATGTAGACACAGAAATAAATATAGATATGTGTGTATACTCAGGTTATATACATACATATACTTCCTAGCTCTGTCCACTGACAGGCCCTAGAAGTAGTGACAACCCTGGAGCAATGGGCACACCCAGTGCCCAGATCCTGGCTTCTAAATACCATTCTCAATCCAATGGCCAAAGCTAGGATAATGTGAGCAACAAAATAAATAATAATAGCATTGGATTATAGCTCAAAAAAGAAATATTCCTGAGTCCATACTGATTCAGGTTAACAAATAAATAATTGGAGGAGCAGGACAAATCTTCCTTACGGAAGAATTCCAAATAATAATTGTAGAAAGAAGGAGAAAAATAGAAAACCACCATTAGGACACCACAATGATATTTGCTGCAGGCAAGATCCCTGGATCAGTGCTAAAATTAGTCGGTGAAACTTTAACAGGTAATTTCAAAGTTTCTCCCCTCAAATATTTATTCATTGCTATGTTGGTTTTAACATAGGTACACCAATTCTTTGATACTCTCTCTTGCTGGAGGTAGACTATAACTCTCCTCCCCTTGAATGTCGGCTGGACACAGTGACTTGCTTCTTACGACTAGACCATGGAAAGGAAAAAAGTAACTTGATGGTGGCGGAACCTAGCTGACATCGCCTTAACCAAGCGTGTCAAGGTTAACATCACCAGTGACGAACCATGTTGATGTCATGTACCCTGATCCAATGCAGTGAGAAAAGCACCTCACTTCTGTGGCATTCTTCCCCCAAACCCATAACCCCAATCTAATCCTGAGAAAATATCAGACAAGCCCAAATCGAGAGACATTGACACCTGACTAGTATTCCTCAAAAGTGTCAAGGTCATGAAAAACAAGGAAAGACTGAGAAGCTGTCAGATCAGAGGAAACTAAGGAGACCTGCTGACTAAATGTGATGATGGATCCTAGAAGAGAAAAAGGATATTAGCAGTTAAATTGGGGAAATCCAGATAAGTTAATTAAACTGTAGCTTATCTAATAGTATTGACGCAATGTTAATTTCTTAGTTTTGATAATTGTACCATGGTTAAATAAGATGCTAATGTTAGGGGAAGCTGGTGAAAGGTATATGGGGACTCTCTGTACTATTTTTGCCTCTTTTGTAAGTCAAAAAGTTATTTTTAAGTAAAAAGTGAAAAAAACCTGTGTACAATAGTACAAAAAAAATCCTTAGTATGTAATTAAGAAGATACAAGAAGTCTAAGGAGAAATGATAAAATCTTAATGAGAGACATTTAAGAATACATAAATAAATGGAGAAATATGCTTTTGTTCCATTGACTAGAAAACTGAATATTGAAAAGATTGTCCCCAAATCTTAATAAAAATCCCAAGGTTTCTGTATTGGAACCTTGGACAAGCTGATTCTAAAATTGATCTGGAAGTGCAGAAAGCCAAGAATCAACACTATTCTTGAAGAACAACAAGGTGGAAGAACTCACTCTCCCAGCCATCAGTACTTGTTACGAAGCATTGGTCATTCAGACGTTGTGGTGCTGATGCAGAGAGAGACACACACACCAAGGGGATAGGATTGAATGTCCGGAAATAGCCCACACACATTTGGATGCTTGCTGTGTATCAGAAGGGGCCTGCAGATGGCGGGAAGAGGATGTTCAGGGTCAGTTGGCTGTCCACATGGGAAAGACAGTACAT